GTCCTTCACAAATCATAATTTTACTCCATTATAGTACTTTGGAATTAAATCTAGTAAAGAATTTCAGGTACTAGATACAATTATGGCTTTAGTGCATTGTGAATGAAAACATTTCCAGCTGAATGGTGCAAGCATATGGAGATTTTTACTACATGTGGCATCATTACAGGTTATTGTGGTACAGCTTAATTTGCCATTTTGGAGGATCATTTTTAATTACGCTTTTTAATTACAGTTTAAAAAAAGTGAAATATGTGACTTGAATTTTTTTTGTGGATATACGATCTAAGTGTAAAATTGCAAAGTGCTTCTTGGGTTTTTTTCAGCTACATACATGCAATGCACTACACACATTGTCCTACTAGAAGAATTCTTTATTCTGTTTGTATCAACAGGGGAAACAAAGCAAAATATGTGCTAAACTGGTAGGTCATTTAAGAAAATATGTCCCAAAACCTTCCCTTTTCTTATCCCAATAACCACTTGACACATAGCCCCCCGCCTTATATGAATATTTTGTGGCAGTCACATCTGAGAGTGCCTGAATCTTTGACTGAGACGGAGATAAATTGAATCCCTTGAGTTTACAATCAGATGAAGTTAAACTTCTAAAATATTTTATGCTAGAGTCTCAATAAATGAGCTAGATGAACTAATCTAGGTTGATTGAAGTTATTTTCTGAAAAAGTGAATAATTTATCTAAAATGAGATGAAGGTGTTTCTTCCATATTTTAATTGGAAAGAGAGAAATTAACAAACACTAAAATTGTGTGTTACTGTTAAAATAGAAACAGCTTTACAGGCTAAAATGATATAAAAGTATGTTGAAACTAGTATAGATAAAAGTTTGTGCCTAGTAGATTAGAATGTCAAGTAAAAATTAATCTTAGAGATATAAAACAACACCTCATATTTTAATAAATAGCCCAAAAAAAACCTGCTATACAGTTATTTTCTATTCTTTCTTAAATTCTTTGTTATGATTAATTCAAATTGTAATATTCCAAAAATATGGAAATCAGATGTCTGGTTTTACATTCCATCTTAAAGTGCTTGTTGCATCCCATGGAAGATTTACTGTTTGAATTTTATGCATTAACATTTAGTGTAAGATGGAGCTTTGAGGTCAGGCACATCTGAATTTCAGGATTAACCCAGAAATTATCTATAATCAATGTCACCCATTCTGCTGCAGGGCAATCCAAACTACTACATATCATATGACTTGCCAAAATATGTCTAAAATAATGTACCTTTCATAAAGTATCGTTCAGCTGAATGTCAAAAGTTACTTAATAAATAAGGTCAGAATTCAGTTCTGTGATGATACATTCTTTGAAGGACAGCTTTACATAGATCAAAATCAAGATATATTCTGTATGGCTATTTAACTAGCTAGCAATTCCAAGCAAATGCAAGCTGTAGAAAACTAGAACCAGAATTCAGAGCTTATTTGAATGTACAGGTAAAATGTGTGTATTTTAATTGTACAGGGTTTTTTTTATTTCTACAGCACCTTGTGGGTAACATAGGTTGCTAGGAAGTGTCTACAAATCTTATTTGGATATAAAAATGTTTCAGATGGTTCTGAATCTTTGTATAGCATGTAATTGTTTGGTTTTAGTTGTCTTCAGAAAAGATCTCAGCAGAAAACAGTTCTCTCAGATTTTAAACTTTTAAAGAGAGTGACTAATATCATAGTTAATTAAGATGATAGGTTACCAACATGTGAGGATGGACAAAAAGCAAGGAAACTGCTAGGATGTAAAAAGAAACCTGAAGAAAATTACTATTAAAATATTATAAGGAAGAAATGTGTGTATTATCTGCAGTTCTGGTCACTCTTCCAGACCCCAATTAGAAATGAAAAAAATAGTGGGGGCTTTTTTTGTTTGCTTGCCCACAAGCCAGGCTCCACCTACAAGTCAAGTGGACAAGTGAAAATTAATGTCATTCACAGTAGAATGTCTAGATTTTTAAAGTGTGACTGGGAGCCCGCTCTGCTTGGCTGTTGAAGCTCGGCTTCCCCTCAGTGAATTTGGACGCAACTCTGGGCAGAGGTGGCCTAAAACACATGGCTTCTGGAATCATTTGAAATGACATCAGAATCCAAGCTCTTATTTTTTCCTTTTTAGTTTGGGTCATGGTTGTAAGAAAACTTGAGAACCTGTCACACCTGTGACCAGTATAATGATGTCTGCCTGAGTCTGCAGATGGTGACTCGCAATGTCCTCTAGAGGCAGGGAGGGAAGATAATCCCATACCTGTTTCTGGAACAGACTGAGCCGCTGCTGCTCTACTGAGACTCGGATATCCCATAGATTCCACTATTCCCCTTTGGAGTCTTGGCTCCATAGGTCAAACTGCTAACAAAATAAGTTGTCTCTCAAGTGCCACTCAGTTATAGCATTAAAATGTATGTATTGTGCATTTCTTTATACTAAGAAAGTCCCTCTCCTTTCATATTTGCTTTGATGAGCAGTGAAATAGATGTGTAGACATATAAATTATTATTAGGCACCTGAGTTAGCACCCTTTAGGGATGAATGAGACAATCCACATCTCTTAGAGTTAGTATTTCAGGCTCTCTACAAATTTGGGCTACCATCACTGTGTCCATTAAATTTTGAAATATTGTTTGAGTATTTCCTCAGAATAGTAATGGATGCAGATATTTCATTTCATGAAATTTTGGAGAGTAAGACAGAAATCTTAAAAAAAAGAGAGGTGTGCAAGCTTGTCGATCTAACATGACCCAGTGCTATTCAAATCCCACTTTTATCTCAAAACTATACAACAGAAGTGGAAAGAGATTCAGAGAAGAGGAATGAAGATTACTAGAGGCCTGGAAAGACTTGTATATGAAAAGATATTGAAAAGTCTGCAGTTGAGAGTAGGTTAATAAAAAGAGACAATATAGAAGCAGTCAAAATAATAAATAGTATAGAGATGGTAAGTTCTCTCTAATACAGTAAAACTCCGATGTTCCGGCATCTGACGGTCCGGCACTCCTGATGATCCGGCACCATCAGGAACCCGGAAGTGCTCCGGGCAGCCGGACCATTGGAGCTGCTCTGCCCCCAGCTTCCCCGATTTAGCCGCTGCTAAAACTGACCAGCGCTGAATCCGGGAAGCAGGGGGCAGAACAGCTGGAGTGCTGCCAGGTAGGTCCAGTAGCGCTGCCCCTCGGGGCTGGGGGACCACCCCAGCAGCACCCCAGCTGCTCTGCCCCAGGCGTTCCCAAGACCAGCTGGGGTGCTGACGGGTTGATCTCGCTGCGCCAAGGGTCGGCGCTACCAGACCAACCCAGCAGCACCCCAGCTGCTCTGCCCCAGGCGTTCCCAAGACCAGCTGGGGTGCTGACGGGTTGATCTCGCTGCGCCAAGGGTCGGCGCTACCAGACCAACCCAGCAGCACCCCAGCTGCTCTGCCCCAGGCGTTCCCAAGACCAGCTGGGGTGCTGACGGGTTGATCTCGCTGCGCCAAGGGTCGGCGCTACCAGACCAACCCAGCAGCACCCCAGCTGCTCTGCCCCAGGCGTTCCCAAGACCAGCTGGGGTGCTGACGGGTTGATCTCGCTGCGCCAAGGGTCGGCGCTACCAGACCAACCCAGCAGCACCCCAGCTGCTCTGCCCCAGGCGTTCCCAAGACCAGCTGGGGTGCTGACGGGTTGATCTCGCTGCGCCAAGGGTCGGCGCTACCAGACCAACCCAGCAGTGCCCCAGCTGCTCTGTCCCAGGCGTCCCGATTCAGCCGCTGCTGAAACTGACCAGCAGCGACTGAATCGGGGACTCCTGGGGCAGAGCCGGACTATCAGAAGGGAGGGCTATGAGGGGGTCTAGGGTAGCATCCCCCCACCCCACCCCAGACCCCTCATAGCCTCCCCTTCTGATAGTCCGGCATATCTGATAATCCGGCACCCCCTGCGTCCTAAAGGTGCCGGATTATCGGAAGTTTACTGTAGTACAAAAATAAGGAGGCATTCAATGGAATTAAAAGACTATAAATGTAAAACTGTGACCATCCAGAATGTGATTCATTTTCAAACTTCCTCTCATCATGTTATGAATTTGCTGATTTTTCAACTGAATGTAAAATTATTTTCATTAACAAGTCTACATTTGCCATCAGTTATTACATTGAAGTACCTGAGAGACTACCATAATTTTTCCATACATATTATGTAGGGGATATTCTGTATATATTTAGGATATCTCTACAGTAACTATATGGTTTATCAATCATTAAAACTAACTTTTATGGCTCTTGTTGTAAATGGTCATATAAACCATGTACACTATATAGTATAGTTGTAGTGTATTCTGCTTTTGAAAAAAAATGTTGTCAGTTATTTCATTGATTTAGGCATAATATCCTAGTTACATCCTGCCACACATGACTTTCTTTCCAGTTTCTTAGGATCCATGAGTAATCAACAGTAAGCGTTGACATTCTCCTTCAGAGTGATTACTGTCTGTACTATTGAGGGCAGATGGTTGTTAATCTGCAAATCAGTAATGTAGCTGACCACTCTCTCTTTCTAGCCTTGAATAGGTCACAAGATGTTAAGTTTACTAGTTCCAAGCTGTTAAGACACAAGTCTTGTGGTCTAGATAGACTAGATAGATACATATAACCACAGTGGACTTTCTTCATACAAATATACAAAAGGTTTGCACAATTTTTTTAACGGATCATTTCTGCAGCATGAGAATAATGCAGCAAGAGTTAGTGTCAATTACACTTTAGCTGTTGAAAAGCTGGAATTTGGAAATCTTTTATGAAAAAATATTTATCAGATCATTCTGAAAATACTCCGCTGTTATTTTAACACAATATCTGAGTGTATGCAT